CCTGCCTGGCCTCCCTCCCCCCTCCCTCCCTCCCTCCCCTTCTTCCCCTCCTTCCTTCTTTCCTTCCTCTCTTCCCTTTCCTCTCCCTTCTCTCTCTTCCCTCCCCTCTCCCTCCCCTTCCCCTCTCCTCCCCTCCCCCTTTCCCTCCCCTCTCTCTTCCTCTCTCTTCCTTCCTTCCCCTTCCTTCCTTCCTTCCTTCCTTCCTTCCTTTCTTCCCCCCCCTTCTCTTCATCCACTCTTCTCTTCCCCCCCCCTCATCCCCCCTCCTCTCCCTCGCCCCAAACCACTCGTGATGGTATGTTGACCACCACTTTCTTTAAGACGTGTCCCTCATGTGGAGGGAAAAGTTGCCCGATGGATGGGCATGTTATGTGTCTGCGATGCCTGAGGAGAGGCCTTGCGGTATGATCCGGCGTTACAGGTAAGCAACCTATATTTCCCAACCTTTTTTTTAACCAGGGACCACTCTCCAACATCAATAACAAAAGGGTTACGAATCCGTTTTTGATCAACTTTAGATTGAGTTTGGTTATTGGGGTGTCAATTTAGAAAATTGCATTGAATAGACCACATCAGCTCTAGTTTCCGATACGGAACATACGCCATCCAGTAGTTGCCATCTGCTCGCCCACAGTAAACCATATTTAATAAGCCTCAGCACTATAAGAGGGTTTCACCAGACCAGTCGTTCTTGTTGCAACAGCGTAGTAACTGTGAGGATGTGAACCATATTTTACTACTTGCGGACCACTGGTGGTCCACAGACCCCAGATTGGGAACCACTGATGTAGACTGAGGGAAGTCCTAGTCCCACTCTCTTCTGCTTTGGTCAGGCTTCACCTGGAATAATGCTGTGTCCACTTCTAGGCAATTCAAGGAGGAGATGGACAAGATGGAAAGTGTCCAGAGAAGGGCCATCAAAAGAGTCAAAGGCCTGGGAACCCTATGAGGAGCACCTTAGGGAGCTCAGGAAAGAGAAAAGTGAGACAAGGGGACCTGATAGCAATGTGCAAGTATCTGAAAAGATGTCCCATTGAGGAGAATGGGGACAAGGGTTGTTTTCTGCTGCTCTGAAGACTTAAGACACAATGGAGCCATGGATCTACACCAGGCACAGGCCAACTTGGGCCCTCCAGATGTTTTGGAATCCAACTCCCACAATTCCTAACAGCCATGCCCGATCTAAACATTAGAAAGAGCCTCCTAATGCCTCAACAATGGAATACAGCCAACACTAAGCCTGATGGGAGGTTTTAAAGTAAAGGCTGGGTGGCAATCTGTCAGGAGGGCTTTGGTTGTGTCTTCCTGTTTTGCAAAAGAGGGTTGGACCCCTTCCACCTGCGGGGTTCCATGTGGAAAGCACGAAGGGTTGCGTGAGGCTCACCTGCCCGGTCTCCCTTCATGGAGTCCCAGATGTTGCAGTTGAAGTCGTCGTACCCGGCGAGGAGGAGGCGGCCGCTCCGGGAGAAGGCCACGGAGGTGATGCCGCAGATGATGTTGTCGTGAGAGTACATCATCAGCTCCTGGTCGGCACGCAGGTCGAAGAGGCGGCAGGTGGCATCGTCCGAACCCGTGGTGAAGGCGTTGCCGTTGGGAAAGAACTGCGGGCAGAGAGAGAGAAAGGTAAGGCACGTGCCATTCCCCTCCCCTTTCTCTCAGCCTGTCAGGAGTCACTTTCTGATGGCATGAAGACATCACAAATTCCCTCCGTGACATCCTGACTGAATCATCCTGGCTGAAGCAATTCTCTCTCTGTGACATTTTGAAGCCAGCAGAGAGCGCTGGAAACCTTGAATTGGAACTTGTGAAGCAACAAATTCTAATAAGGAAACTGAGAAGAGGGGGAGATGGGCAGCAAAGGTGTATAAAAGGAAGTGGTGGTGGGAAAAAGCCAGTAGTGCCTTTCTTTGCTGCAGAGATACAAGCAATATATCAATTTCAAAGCAAAACGGCTTGTGAGTGGTTATTTAATATTGCTCTATAGATCCTACAGTCTGACACAGCCACACTGACTCATGTGCCCCTCACTCACGCAGACAGCGTTGATGTCGGACTCGTGGCCAGTGAAGGTCTGCCGGCACATGCTGTCCCGAATGTCCCACAGCTTGATGGAGGCATCGCAGGCCCCTGAGACAAAGGTGCGCATGTCGGGGGCCAGCGAGAGGGACATGACGTCACCGCTGTGGCCGGAGAAGGTGGTGGTCTGCTGGCCGGTCTCAATGTCCCACAGGGCGCTTCGCAGGGAGGACAGAAAAGATGCAGCGCATGAGAGGGAGAAAAGGCATTGAATAGGCATGGGCCAACTTCGGCCTTCCCTCCAGGTGTTTTGGACTTCAACTCCCACAATTCCTAACAGCCGGTAGGCTGTTAGGAATTGTGGGAGTTGAAGTCCAAAACACCAGGAGGGCCGGAGTTTGCCCATGCTATAGAAAGACACACTGGGTCTCTTTGGCACAAGGCACATTCTATGCAACGGCACAAATGGCATCTCTTATAGAAAATGGCAATTACCATATTTATTCAATTTGAATGTTCACCTTTTTTGGCTAAATGACCATCCCAAAATTAGGGTGTACTTTAAATTTGCATAATATAGCAACCTTAGTGCTGAGCCATTTGGGGATGATGCTTCAGGAGATGCAACTGGAGCTTCTCTTTGAAGGACATCATCTCTAATTTAATGCTCCAAAGGGGACTTGTTAGCCACCTCAACTAGAAATTCCAAAAAATATATATCTCTAAAATACGAAACACTTCTGCTCCCAAGCATTTTAGATAAGGGATGCTCAACATGTATGATGACCACTTGCCTTGTGGGGAATTTGCTGCAAACTCCGCCTTGCCTTTGGCCCCCATTTGGCTCCCCCTTTGGGGAGATAAAGCAGGGTATAAATAAATAAATACAAATATATATGACAATTGGAACAGCTCCTGGCATATGTTTTTTGGATTACGTGATTTTAAGTAATTGTTTTAATTAAGTGATTTTAATATACAAGTTACTATATTTTTATATGTGCTTCAGGCATCGAATTGTGCCTTTGTTGTGAGTCCCCTTCAGGATGAGAAGGGCGGGATACAAGTACAGTGGATAAATAAATAAATTTTTAAATTTTCTTTGTTTTATTTACAACATTTATATCCCGACCTTTTCACCCCAAAAACCGCTTTGAGTCCCCCTAGTGGTGAGAAAAGTGGTATATAAATGCTGTAAGTAAGTAAGTAAGTAAGTAAATAAATAGATGGGACTCAGAGTGACTTACAAGATATATATATATATACATACAATATATTATTAGCCTAGTACAAAATCAGTATTAAATATTACTATATTGTACTATACCATTATATTGTAATATTATTAGTAATATTACATGTAATATAAACATGTAATTATATTATTATCATTATTATTATTAGTATTATATTGCATTATATTATAATATTATATGCATATACAATAGATTACATTATATTATAATATATTATCAGCATAGCAATGTAATAATAAATGCCCCCCGTCCTCACCATGTTGTGATTATTATTATTAGTATTATATTGCATTACATTATAATATTATAAATATTATATGCATATACAATAGATTACGTTACATTCTATTATATTTTTAGCATAGCAATATAATAATAAATGCCCCCATCCTCACCATGTTGTGATTATTATTATTAGTATTATATTGCATTACATTATATTATTATAAATATTATATGCATATACAATAGATTACATTATATTATAATATATTATTAGCATAGCAATATAATAATAAATGCCCCCCATCCTCACCATGTTGTGATTATTATTATTAGTATTATATTGCATTACATTATATTATTATAAATATTATATGCATATACAATAGATTACATTATATTATAATATATTATTAGCATAGCAATATAATAATAAATGCCCCCCATCCTCACCATGTTGTGATTATTATTATTAGTATTATATTGCATTACATTATATTATTATAAATATTATATGCATATACAATAGATTACATTATATTATAATATATTATTAGCATAGCAATATAATAATAAATGCCCCCCATCCTCACCATGTTGTGATTATTATTATTAGTATTATATTGCATTACATTATAATATTATAAATATTATATGCATATACAATAGATTACGTTATATTATAATATATTATTAGCATAGCAATATGATAATAAATGCCCCCCATCCCCACCATGTTGTGATTGTTATTATTAGTATTATATTGCATTACATTATAATATTATAAATATTTTATGCATATACAATATATTACATGACATTATAATATTATAAATATTATATGCATATTCAATATATGACATTATATTATAATATATCATTAGCATGTTGTTGTTCATTCGTTCAGTCGTCTCTGACTCTTCGTGACCACATGGACCAGCCCACGCCAGAGCTCCCTGTCGGCCGTCACCACCCCCAGCTCCTTCAAGGTCAGTCCAGTCCCTTCAAGGATGCCATCCATCCATCTTGCCCTTGGTCGGCCCCTCTTCCTTTTGCCTTCCACTTTCCCCAGCATAGCAATATAATAATAAATGCCCCCATCCTCACCATGTTGTGAATATTATTATTAGTATTATATTGCATTACATTATAATATTATAGATATTATATGCATATACAATATATTACATTAAATTATATTATAATATATTATTAGCATAGCAATACAATAATAAATGCCCTCCGTCCTCACCACGTTGTGTCTCCAGAGCTGGTGATGATCTGGTTGTCGTTCAGGAACCGGCAGCAGGAGAGGTAGCCTTCGAAGGAGGAAGACATAACGAGAATCAGAAGGGAAACCCCAAGGCCATCTAGACCACCCCACAGAAGCCAGGGCAGGAAGCCCACAGCTAAAGTTTCCATCCTTTAAAGCAGTGGTTCTCAAAAGGTTGGGAATCCTTGCGCCAAACGAAGGAAAGAGGTCAAAGGGAAGGGGGGTCAGGGCTCACCCGTATGGCCCGGGAGCTCCCGGCTGACCCGCACGTTCCCCTCCCGGGTCTTGAGGCTGTAGATGGAGCAGATGTTGTCCAGGCCGCCGCAGGCCACGTAGTTCCCCGACGGAGCGTAGGCGCAGGTCATGACCCAGGAGGACCGCAGTGGGATGGCGTGGACCTGCATGAGACAGGAAGTGATGCAAAGGGGGCGGGATCAGTTCTGAGTTCTGAGCCCCTTCCACTACATGCAGGTATGGGCCAACTTGGGCCCTCCCTCCAGGTGTTCTGGACTCCAACTCCCACAATTCCTAACAGCCTACCGGCTGTTAGGAATTGTGGGAGTTGGAGTCCAAAACACCTGCAGGGAGGGCCCAAGTTGGCCCATGCCTGCACTAAAATCTAGCCCTTACCTTGTTTGTGGTATAGCTGTCCCAAATGATCAACTTCCCATCTTGGGAGGCACTAACCAGCAGCCTGCAAGAAACAAAAAAAAATATTAATATTTAATAAATATTAATAATTATAATAATTATAATACACTCAAATCTATTCTGATTCCAAGGTGTGGAGAAAAGGCAGGGTATGACAGGCATTGAGGATGATAGTGGGTAATGATAATAATACCACATTTACTTGAATCTAATGCTCCTCTTTTGGGGCTAAATGACCTCTCACCTAAATGTGGGCACGCATTAGATTTGTGTCATTGTCATACTCCAGAGCAGAATCGCCTCTGACTTTAAACACCACGCCAGCTGGGTAAAATCAGCAAGCAGTTTATTTAGGAATAGATGTAGCCAAAGCAGTAAAAAGTAATCCACAGTAAAAAAAAAAAAAAAGTAATTCATGCAAAGGAAGACAGGGACAAAGAGTCCAAGGAAATCCATGAAACTAGGCACTTGAATCAATGAACAAAATAGAAGCATATCCCATAGGTAAAACATGAGCTGGGCACACCTTGGTGCTTGAAACTTGACATTATTCTGACGTTGCCTCAACTGAAGCAATCGTCCCTCACAAATTTATTTATCTATCTATATAAATAAAAATGTAATAAGCATATCCCATAGGTAAAACATGAGCTGGGCACACCTTGGTGCTTGAAACTTGGCGTTATTCCGACGTTGCCTCAACTGAAGCAATGGTCCCTCACAAATTTATTTATCTAAACTTGACATTATTCTGACGTTGCCTCAACTGAAGCAATCGTCCCTCACAAATTTATTTATTTATCTATATAAATAAAAATGTAATAAGCATATCCCATAGGCAAAACATGAGCTGGGCAGATCTTGGTGCTTGAAACTTGGTGTTATTCCGACGTTGCCTCAACTGAAGCAATGGTCCCTCACAAATTTATTTATCTATCTATATAAATAAAAATGTAATAAGCATATCCCATAGGTAAAACATGAGCTGGGCACACCTTGGTGCTTGAAACTTGGCATTATTCCGACGTTGCCTCAACTGAAGCAATCGTCCCTCACAAATTTATTTATTTATCTATATAAATAAAAATGTAATAAGCATATCCCATAGGTAAAACATGAGCTGGGCACACCTTGGTGCTTGAAACTTGGTGTTATTCGGACGTTGCCTCAACTGAAGCAATCGTCCCTCACAAATTTATTTATTTATCTATATAAATAAAAATGTAATAAGCATATCCCATAAGTAAAACATGACCTGGGCAGAACTTGGTGCTTGAAACTTGGCGTTATTCCGACGTTGCCTCAACTGAAGCAATCGTCCCTCACAAATTTATTTATTTATCTATATAAATAAAAATGTAATAAGCATATCCCATAGGTAAAACATGAGCTGGGCACACCTTGGTGCTTGAAACTTGGCGTTATTCGGACGTTGCCTCAACTGAAGCAATCGTCCCTCACAAATTTATTTATTTATCTATATAAATAAAAATGTAATAAGCATATCCCATAAGTAAAACATGACCTGGGCAGAACTTGGTGCTTGAAACTTGGCGTTATTCCGACGTTGCCTCAACTGAAGCCATCGTCCCTCACAATATATAATATATATAATATATATACTATATAAATAAAAATGTAATAAGCATATCCCATAGGTAAAACATGAGCTGGGCACACCTTGGTGCTTGAAACTTGGTGTTATTCGGACGTTGCCTCAACTGAAGCAATCGTCCCTCACAAATTTATTTCATCTATATAAATAAAAATGCAATGTTTGTTTGTGGGATTAACATAACTCAAAACCCACTGGACGAATTGCTGCCAATCTTGGCCACAAGACACCTACTAGCTCAAGGAGTGACCATCACTCAAAAAATTGATTTTGTCATTTGGGTTGCTGAACCAAAGCAAAGGGGGAAGCTGCTTCTGGAGCTCATATTTGAGGGATGTCACCTCTAATTCAATAGCCATGGCTCAGTGCTATGCTATCCTGGGATTTGCAGTTCACTGAGGCATTTGCATCCTTTGGCAGAGAAGGCTCGAGGTGTTGTCAAACTACACCCCCCATAATTCCATAGCACTGAACCAAGGCAACTGAAGTGAACTCATTCTAGAGCAGAGATGCACTCCAATCTTTTCTTTTCCGTCCCTGGAAGCTTTGGTGTTCCAACACAATTGTTTACACCTCTGCTGCCCCTCACCTGGAGTCGGTCCCCCAGTGCATGGCGTAGATTTTGGCCAGGTGGCCGCGCAGCGTGCGCCTCGTCCGCATCTGGATCCGGCCCACGGGATCGAGGCCCGCTGTGATCTGGGGAAGAGGCAGGAAGGCGCTGAAGATTCACAGCAACGCTGGCTGGGGGATTCTGGGAACTATAGTCCCAAAACAAGGATAATCCCCAAACTGTGGGCACTCTTATGTGACTCCTGATAGACCGGATTCAGGAAGGACCCTCCAGGTATGTTTACACTATCACTCCCATGATCCTGGGTCTGCTGGGAGCTGCAATCCCTTGTGGGCCTTACCTGGGTCAACGTTGAGTCGCCACATGCTTTCCTGGCGTCCTGCAGAAAGCAAACAGGGATTATTATATATCTGAAGCCCCCCAAATTCTTCCTGACCCCCTCCCTGGATGTAATATATTTTGGGGTTCAGGCAGGTTCCCCTCTTCCTTGGTCCTCACCTGCCCCGCTTTAGCGCAGACACACTCCCCAGACTGAAATGAGCCAGATATCTGGGACAGATGACCTCACCGAGGTCTGGGAACTTGCAAAGTCTTCGGAGCCCCAACTCACCCTGATCTGGTTCCGCAGCTGCTCCGCTTCCTGCCGCAACTGGTCCAATTCACTCATGGTGGAGCCGGGCAGTGGAGAGGGGGGTCGGAGGGAGGGAGGGGGGGCTTAGCCGGCAGCCCCACTCAGGCGGCCACGATCCTGGAGGAGGCAAGCGAAATAGGGATCAATTAGCCATTGCACAGGATATAGCTCTGGGCCCCAAACACAGCACAAAGTGAGGCTGAGCATCTATCTAACTCCATCCATCTATCCAGCCACCTATTCATCAATCCACCCACCTAACCTTTAACCACCTACTTATCCAACCATTCATCTATCTAGCCATCCATCCATTCATCCATTCATCCATCTATCCATCCATTCACACACTCACCTATCGATCCATTCATCCACCCCCCTATCCATCCATCCATCCATCCATCCATCTATCTAGCCACCCACCCACCCACCAACCTATCCATTCATCCATCCATCACCCACCCATCTATCTTTCCATCCATTCATCCATCCCATACATCTATCCATCCATCCACACACCTATCATCCACCCACTCATCCATCCACCTATCTTTCCATCCATTCATATATCTATCCACCCACCTATCCATCTACCCACCCAAGCACCTATCATTCACCCACCCACCTATCCATCCATCCATCTATCTTTCCATCCATCCATCCACCTATCCATCCACCCACACACCTATCATTCACCCACCCACCCACCTATCCAYCYATCCATCCATCCATCCATCCATCCATCCATCTATATTTCCATCTATCCATCCATCTATCCATCCACTCACTTATCCATCCACCCACCCACCTATCCACCCACCCAMCCAYCCATCCATCCATCTACCTGTCCATCTATCTATCCATCCACTCACCTATCCATCCATCCATCCATCCACCCACCCACCTATCCATCCATCCATCCATCCATCCATCTACCCATCTATCTACCTATCCATCCACTCACCTATCTATCCACTCACCTATCCATCCACCCACCCACACATCTATCATCCACCCATTGATCCATCCATCCATCCATCCATCTACCCATCTTTCCATCCATCCATCCATCCATCCATCTATCCATCCACCCACCCATCCTTCACCCATTGATACACCCATCCACCCACCCACTTATCCATCCACCCACCCATCTATCTTTCCATCCATCCATCCATCTACCCATTTATCATCAACCCACTGATCCATCCACCCATCTATCTTTCTATCCATCCACCTATCCATCCACTCACCTATCCACCCACCCACCCACCTATTCATTCATCCATCCATACATCCACCCACCCACCATACATCTATGTATCTTTCCATCCATCCATCCATCCATCCATCCATCCATCCATCCATCCATGTTTTGGACTTCAACTCCCACCATTCCTGTCCTCAAGCCGCTTTTCTCCCTCAACCGCTTTAGCAATAAAGGAAAGGGGAAAGGAAGGGCCAGGAATTGTGGGAATTGAAGTCCGGCTTATGGGTGGATGGATAGGTGGGTGTGTGGGTGGATGGATAGGTGGGTGTGTGGGTGGATGGATGGATCAGTGGGTGGGTGATAGGTGGGTGGATGAATGGATCGATAGGTGAGTGTGTGAATGGATGGATAGATGGATGGATGGCTAGATAAATGAATGGTGAGAGGGAAAAGGAAAGGCCAAGCTTCATCTTAAGGGAGTTGAAGTCCAAAACACCTGGACGGAGGGCCCAAGTTGGCCCATGCGTGCTCTACAGCCTGCTTACAGGTGGAAAATCCCTACAAAAGGGAAATACTGCAAATTAAGAAAGGCTTAAGACAACAACAACAACAACAACAACAACAATCTGTTTTGATTCCTCCCTGCGAGGTAGGCCCATTCCCCAATGCAAGGAGAGGATTCCCACAGAACAGGCTCCTATTGGTCCGTTTTGGAAAGGAAGGGCTGGCTCCACCAATGGGAGGAGAGCAAGAGGGTTGCCGTGGCGACCCGAGGCCCATCCCTCCTTCCTCCATCATCTTTGGCAGCGGTTGCCCCGGCAACCAGATGTGCGAAGCCAAGATGGATCCACTCCGAGGAGGCTGCGCTAGGCCTCGGCCGGCCGGCCAAGCCAAACATATGCCTCCCTAATCCCTAATCCCATTTGCTTCGTTAGGGAAAGTGCGCTAAACCCTCGCAAATCCCGTCAAGTGTAAACGAGGAGGAGATTAAGGCCGGATTAAGGCCGCCGTCCGTCCGCGGAGGGACACCAAAGAAGAAGGCCGCTTCCGGGAGGAGAAAATACCCATTGGGAGGCCTTCAAAAGGGCCCAAAGACCCCCACAGACGTCGCCAAGATTGGGATTACGATTCCTAGAATCCTCCTTCAGAATAATATCATTAAAATGGGTTTTTTGAATATCTTAAAACTATGAAGTCGGGTTCAACGCTGATGCTTAAACAGACATAGGCAAACTTTGTCCCTCTTCCAGGTGTTTTGGACTTCAACTCCCACAATTCCTAACAGCCTACCGGCTGTTAGGAATTGTGGGAGTTGAAGTCCAAAACACCTGGAAGAGGGACAAAGTTTGCCCATGCCTGTGCTAAAATGATATGGAGTGCAATACAGATGCTGAAATGTCACGAAAGAAAAGAAAATAGAGAGTAGAAAAAGAGGCTTCTGATCGTCCTTTTTCTCTATAATAATAATAATAATTATTATTATTATTATTATTATTATTATTATATTATATAATAATAGTAATTATTATTATTATTATTATTATTTATCTCTCCTGCAGGAGACTCAAAGCAGCTTAACATAAAACCATCACATACAACTTAAATTATTATTGTCATTATATAATAATAATAATAATAATAATAATTAGTAGCATTATATTTATTTATTTATGCCCCGCTTTATCTCTCCAGCAGGAGACTCAAAGCTGCTGAAAATAAAAGCATAATAATAATAATAATTAGTATAATAACAATAATAATAATTAATAGTATTATATTTATTTATGCCCCAGTTTATCTCTCCTGCAGGAGACTCAAAGCTGCTGAAAATAAAAGCATAATAATAATAATAATAATTAATAGTATAATAATAATAATAATAATTAATAGTATTATATTTATTTATGCCCCACTTTATCTCTCCTGCAGGAGACTCAAAGCTGCTGAAAATAAAAGCATAATAATAGTATAATAATAATAATAATAATAATAATAACAATAATTAATAGTATTATATTTATTTATGCCCCACTTTATCTCTCCTGCAGAAGACTCAAAGCTGCTGAAAATAAAAGCATAATAATTATTATTAGTATTAGTATTATATTTATTTATGTCCCGCTTTATCTCTCCTGCAGGAGACTCAAAGCTGCTGAAAATAAAAGCATAATAATAATAATAATAATAATAATTAATAGTATAATAATAATAACAATAATTAATAGTATAATAATAATAATAATAATTAATAGTATTATATTTATTTATGCCCCACTTTATCTCTCCTGCAGGAGACTCAAAGCTGCTGAAAATAAAAGCAACACATACAATTATTATTATTATTATCATTATTATTATTATTATTATTATTATTATTATTATTATTATGACCTGCTTTATCTCTCCTGAAAGAGATTCAAAGCAGTTTAAAATAAAAGCACAAGCATACTATTACTATTATATAGTTATTACTATTATATTTATTTATGACCTGCTTTATCTATCCTGCAGAAGACTCAAAGCAGCTGAAAATAAAATAATAATAATAATAATAATTAGTATTATATTTATTTATGCCCTACTTTATCTCTTCTGCAGGAGATTCAAAGCTGCTGAAAATAAAAGCATAATAATAATAATTATTAGTAGTATTATATTTATTTATGTCCCGCTTTATCTCTCCTGCAGGAGACTCAAAGCAGCTGAAAATAAAAGCATTATTATTAGTAGTAGTAGTATTATATTTATTTATGCCCTGCTTTATCTCTCCTGCAGGAGACTCAAAGCAGCAGAAAATAAAATAATAATAATAATAACTTTCTCAACCTCTGAGGATGCTTGCCATAGATGCAGGCGAAACGTCAGGAGAAATGCCTCTAGAACATGGCTCTATAGCCCGAAAAAAACCCACAAGAACCTAGTGATTCCAGCCATGAAAGCCTTCGACAATACAGTATTATATTTATTTATACCCTGCTTTATTTCTCTTGCAGAAGACTCAAAGCAGCTGAAAATAAAAGCAACATATACTATTATTATTACTATTACTATTATTATTATTATGTTGTTGTTGTTGTTGTTGTTATTATATTTATTTATGCCCTGCTTTATCTCTCCTGAAAGAGATTCAAAGCAGTTTAAAATAAAAGCACCAGCATACTATTATTATTATTATTATTATTATTATTATTATTATTATTACTATATTTATTTATGACCTGCTTTATCTCTCCTGCAGGAAACTGAAAGCAGCTTGACATAAAAGCACCACCATACTATTGTTGTTGTTATTATTATTATTATTATTATTATTATTATTATTACCACCACTATATTTATTTATACTTTGCTTTATCTCTGCTGCAGGAGGAAACTCAAAGTGGCTAAACATAAATGCATCAACATACGATTTAAATTATTATTCTTATAATCATATATTATATTATTATTATTATTATTATTATTATTATACACCATGTTATCTTTCCTGCAGGAGACTCAAAGCAGCTTAAAATAAAAGCATCAGCATGCACTTTAAATATTCTATTATATAGTTATTACTGATATTATATTTATTTAAACTCTGTTTTATCTCTCCTGCAGGAGACTCAAAGAAGCTTAAAATAAAAGTGGCAGGATACTACTGCTGCTACTACTACTACTACTACTACTACTACTATTATTATATTTTTATTTATACTTTGCTTTATTTCTCCTGCAGGAGGAAACTTACAAATGGCTTAACAAAAAAGCATCAACATGCAATTGTTGTTGTTGTTGTTGTTGTTATGTGGCGGAGGTGTCCCCTTACACAGACAGCCTCCCGCGTCTACAAACAGGTTATAGTTTCAAGCCTCCCTCCGCTGACATTGCAGGTTATAGCGAGCTCTGTGAACATGTAGCCCAACCT